AACTTGAAATGATGAGCTTCACGGGGCAGTGCGGTGTATGCTGGTTACCGGCAGAAATTAGGTGATTGCTTATGTGCCAATACGCCTCAGGAAAAGCCAGACTAGTCGTACGCTCTTCTGCCGCAGTCATCATTTCTGAACACCTCATGTGAGAGAGCCAGAATCTATTCCGCACTTTGTTTGTATTAGAAGCATTCATCACGAGACACAAATTTACGATAAGTGAGTTCACGGCAGGTACCGAATGTATTAACTAGATTTAGCAGAGTGCATCGTTGGGCGAGTTGGTGGATAGCTTAATAAAATGATGGTGGCGCAACAGATACTAGCAAGGAAAAAGTAGGAGACAGGATAGAGTGCAAGACTTTCAGCTCATTTATTTTCCTCGCGCCAATGGTTTGCTTCAGCATATATATTTAGGTGATGCAAGGAAAATAAACGAGTTGAAAGTCTGGCGCTCTATCATGTCTCCTACGTTTTTCTTGTTAGTATCCGTTGCACCACCATCATTTTATTTTTACAAAGTACCTACAAGAGTGTCGGATTTCACCGAAATGCCTGACAAGTCTACTGGGAGACAGCAAAGCTGTTTTGGATATAGCTGTGGGAATTTGGCCTGTTAGTTTAGTGGATTATAAATGCATGAATCCCATTTCTTTGACTGCCAGATTTTTCATACGATTTTGTGGTCCACAGGGAGTCTGAAAATCAAACATTAAAAGTGCCCAGAAATGTTATTTATTTATTTTTGCCATGACTAGAGCAAATTATTGGCACTATAATTCAGTTGAAACACTTTTTATTAAGGGAGCTACGAATAATAAATAGTTACCCTTCTCCTCTACGCTGTCTTTCACCCTCAACTTTTTCTTCAAACGCTCGAGGATAAGCTCCACCTTCAAGGAGTTTCGCGCCACGATGTGACATGAGAACATGTTTTCGTGATGACATGTCATCTACCTCCAGTAAGTCGAAGCCAGCGCAGTAGCTAGCCACCAGTGGGTCAGGCACTGGGCCGCCTTGCATAGAGTTAATATACTGACTCTAGAGGAAAAGCTAGGCCGCGAGATCATCATCATCATCATCAGCCTGACTACGTCCACTGCAGGACAAAGGCCTCTCCCATGTTCCGCCAGTTAACCCGGTCCTGTGCTTGCTGCTGCCAATTTATACCCGCAAACTTCTTAATCTCATCTGCCCACCTAATCTTCTGTCTCCCCCTAACCCGCTTCCCTTCTCTGGGAATCCAGTCAGTTACCCTTAATGACCAGCGGTTATCCTGTCTACGCGCTACATGCCCTGCCCATGTCCATTTCTTCTTCTTGATTTCAGCTATGATATCCTTAACCCCCGTTTGTTCCCTAATCCACTCTGCTCTCTTCTTGTCTCTTAAGGTTACACCTACCATTTTTCTTTCCATTGCTCGCTGCGTTGTCCTCAATTTAAGCTGAACCCTCTTTGTAAGTCTCCAGGTTTCTGCTCCGTAGCTAAGTACCGGCAAGATACAGCTGTTATATACCTTCCTCTTGAGGGATAGTGGCAATCTACCTGTCATAATTTGAGAGTGCTTGCCGAATGTGCTCCACCCCATTCTTATTCTTCTAGTTACTTCAATCTCGTGGTTCGGCTCTGCGGTTATTACCTGCCCTAAGTAGACATAGTCTTTTACAACTTCAAGTGCACTATTACCTATCTCGAAGCGCTGCTCCTTGCCGAGGTTGTTGTACATTACTTTCATTTTCTGCAGATTAATTTTAAGACCCACCTTTCTGCTTTCCTTGTCTAACTCCGTAATCATCAGTTGCAATTCGTCCCCTGAGTTACTCAGCAATGCAATGTCATCGGCGAAGCGCAGGTTACTAAGGTATTCTCCATTGACTCTTATCCCTAACTGTTCCCATTCTAGGCTTCTGAAAACCTCCTGTAAGCACGCGGCCGCGAGATCGCTAACCACAAAATTTCTGAAATCTCGGAACGTTGCCATTGTTGCTATCACATTACTTTCAGAATCCGTCAAAATTAGCTACAGTGCACACAATTCTTGCTGTATTAATCCTAAAAAAGCATTTGCAGGATTAAGAACATGCGGATATTGCCTTGCATTTATTCTGGATACTTTATGAATGATTTAACGGCTATTTATGCAAATTTTGTGCATGAAAAGGAGCATTTTCAGGCTAGTTTTTCAGGCGCCACCATATCGTACACGAATGGACCCAAGAATACGCAGGCACGTCGACGATGTTTGCTGTGCACCGGAAGTGTTGAGGTCTAGATGAAAAGTGTGGTTGTGTTCGCCCTATTTGTGACTAATTCTTAACCAAAAGAAATCATGGAGTTTCAAAGATTACGAACAACATTTTTTTGCAGTTAAGCCAAAAAAAATTGCTTGTGACATGCACTTCACATCACTTCACATCAGCCGCCTGCATGACATTGCGCTTCTGATTGAAATTGCGTTTGGCTGTGATCCTCAGCAATTCACAGCTCTAAAGTGTTGTAATAAGTTACACAGTTTACACAGAAAGCTTGAATCAGTCTTTAAGTGACCCTTATGGTCTCCTCTACCGGCCCAATGTGTGGGAATTCGCAAAATCGTCATTACTGTTTCAGCATCTCTTTAACTGTATATTTTATCTTCCTGAAGTTCGAATTAGGCTAAAATTTTGGTGTGAATTGAAACAAACAGCAATGACTATTCGAAAACTATTTGAAAACTTGAATATTTATACACTCCTTTAATAAATGCTTCATTCCTTTATACCAGTTGTCATCTGTAGAAATACAATTGCTAGGACAGCTAGCAGCAATGCCTCTTATCATCTTAGTGATGGTTGGTAGTGGAATGGCTGGTTTTACCTTTGTACATGCTCAGACTTGCCATTCCGTTGATGCAATTTCACAATGCTGGCATTAGTAAGCGATGTTGCACGCTTTTTTTTTTGGTGTGTGTGTGCACGCACGTGCATTCTTTTCTGAGTGCAGGTGATGCAAATGTAACAGTATGTGATTTAGTAGTGTGAAACTTGTATGAATGTAAGAAACATTTGAAGTAGGGATATACCGTACTTACTCAAAAATTTTCACCCTCGCATAATTTGCGCACCCCTAATATTTTGCAGCCTTACTAAGAAAAATATTTACTCACATATTTTGCACTTCCCAACCTGCCCAAGCCAGCTCGCCGGTGCGCACGCAAAGAGACTTTGGACCTCTGGTTGCTTTTGATGGGCACACCAGGCGCGTGCTTCGCCAAGCAGGTGAGCACAGTGAAAGGTGCTGTGAGTGCAAAGTCTCTTATTCCGAGGACTGGCCTTGAACTAGGGTCTCTAGAATATCGCAGCCAAATGCTTTAACCTGTTGACGGGTCACTGTAACATCTCAAGTATTTGCCTCCTTCAGCATCCCCATCTCTACCATTGTAAGAATGCATGCTCGCGGCACGGCGTAGAAAACTTTTCCCATTGGAAGGCAAGTGAAGGCCTGTCGCACCAACTGTTTTTCCTCGTTCTTTGCGTTCACACTGCAATGCATGCTTGGTTGATTTCAAAAATTTAGGTTTCGCCATCTGATCGTGTCGTTACTGTTCCCTTGCGATTGGCTACAATAATTATATATGCAGCGAAATCCAAGCTCACTGTTATAAAGTCTGCCAAAGAAAAGGGGAAACATGCCACCACCAAGTGCTTCAGCATATGGTTCTTCAACGCGCAGTTATCAGCTCGATCAGTACGAGAGAACGCAGAAGGATGTGCGCTTGCTAATACAAGTTTTCTTCCATTGAAGAAGGCCTTTTCAATTATGTACGAACGCTTAGGTCTTCCAGTGTAACTGTGTCATGGCACCTAGTTTCTCTCAGCATTGTTAAGAAGAGCTTCCAAAAGATGGGGCGCTTGAACATACTCGAAAGAACTGAGAACAATGCTCTTTGGGAGGGCGGTGACAGTGGTCATGACGAATCAGACGTCTTGATCAGTGATCCTGACAACACATGTGATTGGATCTGACTGATTAAAGTATGTGCTTATTCTGTTAAATAATAAGCAGGTACAGTTCGGTTGCGCTCCAGCTTACTTCTTTTCGTTTTTTTTTCTATGTGTATACTGTATGTGTTAGGACTATTGCACAATATTTCTAATGCATTCGCGAAATCCCTGCATAATTTGTACAACCCCTTCCTGGAGTCCCGAAATCGCAAAAAAAAAAGTGCGAATTATGCGAGTAAATGTGGTAGTGCAGTAATCGTATGGGATCAGGTGCCATAAAGATCATCGCAACAGAACAAAGTCTCAGTTGAGCTCTGTGTTCTTCTTTTTGTTATCCTAGCTGCTTGGTGCTACTAATATCAAAATGATAGCATGACACTTGATGTCGAATGGCATCAATGAGCAACTCTAGTGCCAGTGTTCAAAATGGGCAGTAGTACCTTGTTTCTGTAGGCCATCAAGTGTGTGAACAAACTTTACTTTAACTAGCGGATTGAGGCGTGACCGTAATCCGTGCCACAAGCGATGGAGAGACCCTGTCTCTTAGCCATCTCCCGTGCTCGCTGGATGGCCCATATTTGATCTGCTCGATCTGAGCTGATCAGCACGGCTCTTCATTGTGCCCCAAGCTGTTCTGGGGAAACTGCATTGGTGTCCTGTATCTGTGCCCATTCCCGTAAAATATGCTCTAGGGTGGGATGTCTCGTGCTAGATAGCTCACACGAGTCATCTGGGTATAGTTCGGGGTAGATGCGATTTAGGTGCTTCGGGTGTTTCAATTCTTTCTTGTTTTATGTGTGTGTGCCAACAGTACAGTAACATGGAGCAGCCAAACTTGATGCATGGTTTCTTTTAATCACTACTGAAGCCAACATACATGCATTGGTACCCATGGCATTGGTGGCTTACATTGAGCTGCCTAAATAATTGTTGTTCTTCATACCTGCCACAGTGCTTTGCTTTTGAGTACGAAGGTGCACCTAAAGCAGAGTTGCTGTTAAAATCACCTTGCAGATGGAGCTGGAGCGGGCCAAAACACAGCTTCAGTCAATGCTGTTGATGAACCTCGAAGCTCGTCCGGTCATGTTCGAAGACATCGGACGTCAAGTTCTTGCCAGTGGCCATCGCAAAGATGCTGACTACTATATTTCGGAAATAAGTGAGTTGATCGGCTTACAGTTCCTAGTGCAGCATATTCTGATGCAATGAAAGTCAAGGCTGAAAACAAATGGTATCTTCAGATGAAAGAAAAATTTAATTAATTTCTTTGCATTATTTTATTTAGTAGTGAACCTGAAATATTTTCGAAAGGCTGTTACTGTTGTTTCTTTTTTTTTTCCTTGAGCGGTGACATTCGCAACCAGACAACTATTTCTGTAATCACCAGCATTTCTGCATCTCTGGGAGATAGTTTGAGTAGTAGATTGCACTAACTGGTATCTCTGTGGAGATTTTATCAAAGCCCAACACAAATACTCACGGAATAGCAGAGCTGAGCCAGTTGGTACACATTGGTTTTAAAAGAGACAGGACGTGCAAACAAACACATGGACACACAAAAGGACTTGACAAATGCCTACGAACAACTGAACGCACGCACAACAGTAAAAAAAGAAAAGAAGACACGAAAACTTGCTGCACATGCCCAAACAATATCTAAACCTTTTGTAATCTGGGACACGTGGGGGTCTACGAGAAAGATAACTGTTAAGAGTATTTCATTTTATTTTTATGCAAGTTAATCAATGCACTACCGCTATTATCGATATGCCATGCCTCAATCACCATACATGTTTATTTATTTATTTATTTATTTTGTATAATGCCAGTTCCAGGAGGGCAACCAAAATACACAAGAGGTACACATGCATCGAAGAAGTGAAAAATGCATGACTGCAGATATCCTTTATCATTATAAGTAGTGTAGGAAACATAAGCTATGTGACAAATAATAATTAGTACAAATAAATGATACATAATAGATGTCTTCAATATCACACAGAAAGAATAATAGATGTGAAAAAAAAATGTGACTACATATTGCACTGACAAATTGACATATACAAAAAGCACTCAAGAATTGTAAAGGTAAGAAAAAAGAAAACCAGGAAAAAAAGAAAAGCCAGGCCTGCACGGAACACACAGCATGTGAAAAAAAAAATGTGACTACATATTGCACTGACAAATTGACGTATACAAAAAGTACTCAAGAATTGTAAAGGTAAGAAAAAAGAAAACCAGGAAAAAAAGAAAAGCCAGGACCTGCACGAAACACACAGCATTGTCACTGCAAAACCTAGAAGAGCGGTTTTTCAGAGTCTTTTGTAAACACTCTTTGAGTAACTGCTACAAGCACACTTGCTGGGTACCCAATACGTCATAAATCTATATTTTTGTGTAGTATACCAGCATTTACTATGCTAGTCTTCGTCATTCTTCAAAGAAGTGTGGTGTCCGCTGCACACTTGCCAGGAACTTTGTGCAATTTTTTTACGCAGTGGCTGACAACGATGAAGAAGTACGCCTGAAGTGGGTATGGCCCACAGTTTATAGGTGAACAAAAACAAGTTTTTGTTGTAGGTTGGAGCAGCGGACGACCCACTTGTTATGCTGTTCGCATTGTGCGACAACTGCTTGTTCTTTCACTGTTTTGAAACGCTTTATAAGTCATATTAACGCGATTCTTTTTCCAACATAAAGCCTGCCTAAGGCCAGTTTAGGAACGAGTTCTAAGCACCAACGTGGCTGTGTGCCAGAATACTGGGCTGGCACGCAGCGAAAACGAGTTCGAATCTCATTGTGTCCTTGGTGTTTTTCTCTACTGAGTTAGTTTTTTTTTCTCATGGTATTGCTTACAATACTGGTTACGGGACATTGGCGGTGATGGCGGCAGACAACTACAACGTCACGCGTGACTTGTGTTCTGGTCTCATACTAGCTTTTGCTGTAAAAAACATAAATTCGAATATGGGTGGCATTAACATGTTTATCGAGTAAAGTTAAGATGTGCAAAATAACAAAAACGCCGACCAAGGTGAAATACACAAAAATTAAAAAATACGTTTCGACTCCCCACACGGGAGCCTTGTTCACAGTGACCGCAAATGGCGTAGTGTGCTCTTCTTATGCACCTTTCATCACGTGTCGCACACATCGCGCGTACACAGAGGAGAGTGTCTCAATATTTCTGTTCAATGTAGTATGTGCAGTAGTTTGAATGGCCAGAGATTGCGTTTGCAATCGTGGTGACAACTTTCTTCCTGTGGCAATGATGCAAGCTTTATCCCAGTAGATAGCGTGCCCAGTAGACGCAACATGTTCTGCGAGGGCATAAGAAACTATTTTTTAGCAGCTTTTGGAGGTTTCTTTGAAGTTTTGCTCTTGGGTGGCTATGTACAGCAAAACTTCAAAGGGACCTCCAAAAGCAGCTAGCAGATGTCTTTCGCTTCGTGCCCCCTAAACACAAGTAATTATATTACTCTCTTGTTTAAAACAATGGATCAGCGCCAGCTATGTATAGATTGCCTAAGATTCACAAAACAGGTGTCTCAATCCACTCTATTGTTGATTTTACAAGGTCGCCTCTGAATAAGCTTTTGGCTTACTTACACAGGACCCTCTGACCGCTCGTTGGAAAAAGTGAAACACACTCAAGGAATTCCAGTGATTTCATTGATAAGGTACGCGACATGGTACTAGACGACAATGATGTTCTAGCATCTATTGATGTACGGTCACTTTTTACAAGTGTACCTGTTGGTCTGGCAATTGACGTGCGCAAGGCAGCCCTTGAGTCAGACCAATCATTGTCGGACAGAACGCCCATCGATGTTCCTGATTTGTGAAGGTTGCTTCTGTTCTGCTTAGAGAACAGCTACATTAAATTCAGGAGCAAATACTACAAGCAGGTGCATGGCACTGCAATGGGCTCTTCTGTGACTGTCACTGTCGCAAACCTGGAGGCTGTTGAAAACCGAGCTCTCACTTCGTTTGCTTCCCCGCCCAAGACTTTCCTTCGATATGTGGATGATTGTTTCTGTGTTTTGCAATGGGATGCCCTGCCAGTATTCAGCAACAGCTAAGCTCTGTGGAGGCCACGATACAATTTACCGTGAAAGAAGAATCAAGCCGCTGCCTTCCGTTCCTTCGCGTCATCGTGAAATGAAACGGTAGGCACCTGACTTTCAGCGTCTACAGAAAAGAAACACACACCGGTCGTTTTCTGAGCTTCAATTCTGTGCACCCATTCTGCCATAAACGTTCTGTTGTGTCTACACTCGTAAAGCGCGCTTGGAGGATTAGTTCTAAGAAAGAAGGCGCAATAGAAGACGTAGAGTTCATTCGACGGGAGCTGGCTACTTGTGGATACCCGCTTTCCTTCATGAACTCGGTGCAGCGACAACTGCAGTGCCAGGCTCAATTACACACTATTGCTACAAGAAAACGCACATCGGTGCCTTATTCTAGGTTTCAGTGAAACCCTCGCTCGGGTTTTGCGCGGCTACGAGGTCTAAGTGGCCCACGTTCCAACATGAAAGCTCAGAGGCCGTCTCACAAATGTCAAAGATAAGTTCGACAGACAGGATTTTCCCGGTGTAGCGTATATAAAATTTCTTGCAAAGACTGTGAATACGGATACATTGGCGAAATGGGCAATTACAAAAAAGGACTCCGAGGACATTTTAACGGCGTCAAGCACAAGAAAGTAGCTTATAATGCCCTCGCAGAACACGCAGCGTCTACTGGACATGCTATCGACCGGGATAAAACTTGCATCATTGCCACGGAAATAAAGTTGTTACCACGATTGCGCATAGAATCTCTGGCCATTCAGACTATTGCACATACGTTGAACAGAAATATTAGGACAATCCCCCATATGTACCCGCGATGTGTGCAACATGTAATGAACTGTGCAGAAGAGTGCTCTATGCCATTTGTGGTCACTGTGAACACGGGAGCCTTCCCGTGTGGGGAGACAAAACGTCTTTTTTAATTTTTGCGTATTTCACCTTGGTCATTGTTTTTGTTACTTTGCACTATGTTTGTCCCCGACCAGGCGGGATTCCGTCAGACTTTTGACTAAAGTTAAAATGTATTCAGATCTTTACTGTTGGATATACAGATGTGCAATCTTATCCATTCTCTAATTGACTGTGGGAGAAAGGAATGCTTGAAGCAGTTTGTGTTGGAACGGTACTTCTGTAATGCAAACAGATGTTTGTGGCATGACTGTCTGCTTTCTGAAATAGGTATGAATTTAGAGCTTTCGATGTTCAGTCGTGAATGAACATATTGGAATAGCACTTTTAGGCATACGAGTTTAGTGTAATTTCTTAATGTTTATAGCTCAGCTCTTGCGATTCGTTCAGTGGGTGAATTGCGCGAACTGTATTTCTTTATGATAAATCTAACAGCTTTTCGTTGTTCACCTTCCAGCTTTTTAATTAGATTATTGGTGGCCAGGAACCAGACTAAGCATTTTCTATTGATGGTTAAATTAACGTCTTATAAGCTAAGAGTTTTGTTTGAGGTGGTGGGAATTGTAGTCATCATTTAAAAGAAAATAATCTTTTTAAGGCTGAAGATGTAACGTAGTTAACATGCACTTCCTTTCTGAGGTCATTAGAAATCACTAGTATACGATACTTGTAGCGATCCGCGTCACTAGCGCCAGCAAGAGCAGAGAAGAGATAAAGACAAAAAAGAGGAAGAAGCGGGCAATAAACCAATGTAGTCATAATGTCAGCACAAAAACTTTACATTAGCGCAGTTGAGGTGAGGAACCTGCAAACGAAGGTAAAGTTCGAATTCACTCGACATGAGAAGCGACCTCTCATCGTGGGCGTTCAAGGAGAGGGCCAGAGATATGTGGAACAGCAGGCAGACGCTACCAACGTTACTAGAATAAACTCAGTTTCAAAGCTCCGTATCTCCCCCAGTGGAGGAGGATGGGCTGAACGGCGGTCGCAAGAACTAGTAGCGCTGCAATCTGATCTTGCGCTACTCTCGCTGCATTGTCTGCTACGGCGGCATACCATGGTGGTTCACCGCGCTGTTCCTTTTGCCGGCATCCCTGTTGTACTGCTTTCGAACTTAACCATTCATCGTGCTTCCAGTCGACATTCTCTCGTCGCATTTGTGGACTGCTTATGCGAA